CTTTTGTGGTAATGTGTGTGAATCCTGTGTTCCTACCACAAATGTTCTAGAAGATATGAGGAGAACATCTCAGCTGTCTGTCGGCCACAGGTGCCTTTTTTAAAAGGGGTTTAAATGGATAAAAGCTGGCACAGTCCTCCTTCTGGGGATTGTAGCACAAAAAATGTAATACCAACAGCTGTGATGAAGACATCACTTTGAAGCTGACAAAAAAAACTACTAAATTTGAGAAAATTATTAGTTTACTGTAAAAGATGTGGTCGGTGGAAATCTTTGTTTCAAGATCTCATACATCATGCATTTAACAGAGCTCAGCTGCTCAAATGTCATTTCAGACCTCCGAAACATCTCATCGCCGTTCAAAAACTGCTGCACCTATTAGAAAAATTCAAAAAGCGTGAGCGGCAGAAGGCTTTGATGGTCATCTGTGTGAATTTTTATTTGCCTACCATGAATTATCTAGAAGCTATGATGAGAATATTTTAGCTGTCTGAAGCTGATCGGAGGAGAAAATCTCTGTTTCTTTAACATGAGTTTCAATGAGACAGGATCAGGGTCTCTCCTCCTACTGAGGCTTGTAGAGAAAGAACCGTAACACTTACAGATAAAATGAAACCATTCTGAAAAGCTGAATCAAAGCAAAAATTCCTACTTTTTGAGATATAATTTGTTTCGGTACTCCAAACGGTCTGGGTGTTGGAAAGAGTTGTTTCCAGAAAATGTGAAGGTCAAAAGTTAGGGTGCGGAATTTTCAGTTTAGAGTGGTGGGAAGCATTTTTTTTTATTTCAATATTCTCAAACAAATGAACTGTACGACCACAATATTTGGAGTACATTCATGATTTATAACTCAAAACGAATGTATATTCTTAAGCTGTAAGCCAGCATGCGTTTCATTTCAATCGGACCTACGGTTCTCTCGGGACAATGCCAGTAACGGAGCAAGGGAGGGTCACCGCTCCTATCTTTCCCCATTATAATTTTTGTGATTTTTTCTGAAAATCTCAAGCCGTACCTCAACTTCTACCTGTGATTTTAGAAAAACTGTAATAGATTTGTAAAATATTTTTTAACCAGTAATAGCTGAAAGTCTTGTGAGTTTGTTGAAACTTGAATTAAGTCTCTAGGTTAAAGTTTACCTATAAGTGTAAGAGTTCAAAAAAGTTATAGGATTTAGCTGAAAATTGAGCAATCCCATTCATTTCAATGGGACCAAAAATCGCAGAAAAAGCTGAATATCTCAAAAAGTCTAAAACATTTTAATACCAAAAGTCATTGCCGGCATAAGCTGAATGAGCTGAACGTTTTGATACCAAAATTGTGTGAATAGTTGAGGAACTGTGGAAGTAGTTAAATGCCAAAAAATGTATGGAAGCAGAATAATAATAAACCGACTAATAACTATAAAGAGAAACAGGATCACTATAGTTTGAATGCTTTACAGCATTCAAACAATAAACCGACTTATAACTATAACTAGATAAATTGCATTTCTTGCAGAAATGCTGTTTGAATGCTGGATAGCCTAAACCAGGGGTCGGCAACCTGTTCCCATCAAAGAGCCATTATTACCCGCTTCCCACAGTAAAGAAAACACTGGGAGCCACAGCAGCTGCGGCGTTGTGGGCGGGGCCTAGCCTCAGACAGTAGAGAGCTGCTTTGACCAATCACAACAGGTGACAGCAGCCAGTACCGGTCCCTCGTGTAGGTCAAAGTTATCTTTCATAAGACGATAATCAATAAAACGATTTATATAAAATGGATCCAGAAGTTGTAGCCCGTCCCTGCCTACAATATTCTGATATTTTTCACCCTGTTGGTGGTTTTACTGAGCAGGTCATACGCTTCTTTTTAAAAAATGTTTATACTGTTCAGAATACAAATCCAGGCTCTGTCACGTTTGATTGTTGTAATTAAACTTTGTAGGTGGAGAAGGTCAGAAAAGGATCCGATCAATTTGTTTTGCCCTCATTTGCAGTGACGGAGATCACGGCGCAGTGTGCCTGGTGTTAAAGGCAGGGTTCGTAAGTTTTAAATGTGAAATAACTTTAAAAATGTTTAATTATGACCATCTGACTCACTTTTATTAAAAAAGTAAATAATCTTTAATGTTTAAATTTTCTCCTAAGTCCCTCCCCTGCCCTGTAGAGCTCAGCCAATATTTCTGCAAGCCTAACGCGTTGACCAATAGCGCTGCGTTACCACCAGGGGCAGCTGTCAATCATCGAGCACGAGCCTCACTCGGCTTACTGCAGAGACATGGAGCAACAAAACCCCAAATTACAGATTCCTCGACTGCCTTCCACATCTCAAAAAACATTTAAAAAGTTTAAAAGGCCTTTCTCAAAAGTGGCTGTAAGACGTTTAAGACAGTTGAGTCAAATTTACATTGGAGATTGTTTACAGGATGGAGAGATTTTTGTGATCTACGCGGCATGAAAACGGATGAGGAGTTGGCAAAGTATCTTTTGGACAGGTAAGTTATTTATTGTTTTTCAGCTAAATTTACTTAAAATCTTTCTTTCACTGAAAGAAGTAATAGAGCAAACAAGCTGTGTATGCTTAGTGTCCTATTGGCTTATGTAGTATTAGCTTGAATGCTAAGTCGACATGAATCGATGTTAGTCATTGATGATTATTTAACAATGTCTTTCATTTATCTTTAGGTGTGAATGAAACAAATTTCAACAAATATTGTTTGTAACATTTAATAATTTGCATATAATTTTGCTACATGTCCACCTCTGTGGACAGTGTGCATTCTGAACATGGAATATATTGACTGGACTTACTGATGTCCACACGGAGGGTCTCAAATGCAATAAAGTACTCAACCGCTGTGCTTAATAGCAAAACAAATAAGTAAATCACAATTTTGAGAACCTGTTCAAATTATATTTTTCATCTTTATTTCCTAGTTATAACCATCAGGCCGCAATTGACCTTGGTGGCTTAGACTCAGAACAGCTGCGGTTGTTTTGATTTCTTAGGCAGGCCTTGCCTCCTCTCTGTTTCACATTTTCAACCCTTTTTTCTCTCCACCGCTCTGTGCTTCCTCGTAAGCATAATACATTTGTGACTCAAAAGGTATTTTGTGAGTTATTTTTTCCCCCATATAGATACCACACCGTCTCTTCTTCGGCATGAGGTCAGATTCAGGCTTACGAATCCATCCTCCAACTGTGTATCTACCCACAGCGGGGCTCGCTTATCAGCCAACCAGTTTAAAAGTCTGACCACCAACTTGAAACGTGTGCAAATGATTTGTCATATCCTTCTTTCTACACGAATAAGCAAGTCCAGACACTCTCTCATCCATTCGAACACAATTAAAGCAGATAACATCTAAGACAACAAACAACAACAACAAGATAACTAGAGCAACGTTTCTATTTCTCTGGCAAAATGCTCAAAACACCCAAGCCAAATCAGAGCTGCGTTTATACTTACGGCAAAAACGCTCAAAAACCAATTTTAACCTCTGAGTTATCACACCGGTCTATTCATTTATACCTTATCACACCAGAGTTGCGTCGTAAAAACCAAACCAAATCAGAGCTGCGTTTATATTTCCAGCCAAAACATTCAAAAACCAATTTTAACCCCTGGTCACCTAGGATTTCTCTCAGTACCACAAAACAAAGCGACAAACAACAAACTTGTCTCACCGAATCTCTCCACTCGGACTTGAGTAGATCATGGATCCGCATCTCCCCCCCAGCGACGTCAAGATCCTCACACCGACCCCCAGCGAAAGCACATCGCCGGAGGAGATCTAGGTTGTCGACAGTTTTCCGGCGTCAGCTCCTGGCGCTGCGAGGCGATGGGACCTCGGCTTTTGAAGGACCAAATAATATCATGGATTTTATCAATATGTTTATCAATAACCCATTTCTTGCAGTCAGAGAGAGAAGGAGACAATGATCAGACAAGTCAACCAGTTATAACTGTGGCAAAATGCACAAAGCATAATGCACAGAACATCCGGTCACAGACTTTATTTATAGGGAGATGGGAGTGGAGGAAGAGAGAGAGAGAGAGAGAGAGAGAGAGAGAGAGAGAGAGAGAGAGAGAGAGAGAGAGAGAGAGAGAGAGAGAGAGAGAGAGAGAGAGAGAGAGAGAGAGAGACTGTCTCTGTGTGTGGGAAGTCAAGAATGTGTGTGTGTGAGTGGCATGTGTGGGTGTGTCTGAATGAGTGAGCATGCAGAGAGGCATAGAGCAATACATTTACAATCAGTTGAGTCCATGATCAAGAATTAATAAACATAATTTTTTCCATAACATAACATCTGCTAACACCTGTTAGCATGAAGTAGCACCACTTGGTTAGCATGCTAGCCTGGGTGATCAGATAGTCTGGCCTATTATGTGAACATTTTCCTGATTGGTACTGTTCTCAGATTTTTTTAATCCTCATTTTTTTCTGTTACTTTTGTGTTATTTTTTTTAATGTTTTCATCTCACGTGTTTGAATGACGCATAATAACCACCAAAGATTAGTTTTAGAAATGTATTTTTACTGTGATCTGATATAAATTTAACTTTAAGAGAAATTTAAATTGGTTCAAATCAGAAAAATGTGTTTTTTTAAATGAAACTCTCTAACTTGTCACTGACTTCTGTTTAGCTAGAAATAGTCATTCCAGAACAAAGTGTTTTGGTTTTGTTGGTAGAACCAATCAGAACCGGTTTCTGACGTTCTGATCCATGAAATAAATTAGAACCCAGAACCTGCAGACATCCTCTCTGTGGTGCATACTGAGATGAGGCGAGTCCACTGATCTGGGTTCAGAGGTCAGAGTAAAACCGTGTTAGATGACTTCCTAAACTGATCCAGGGTCAGGTTGTCCCTCAGACCTGCTTCCTCTGTGTCTTTGAGCTGCATCAAGTGGGTGCAGCTGCAGCAACTGTTCCGCTCTGTGGTCACATGGGGGAGGGAGGGGGGAGGGGAAGGATGCACCCCCCCCCCCCCCACCCCCGCATGTAGGTACTTCCTCATA